CACATGAACGAGTTCTTCAAGACACGATCTAAATATTTCAGATTAGATGAGGAATATTTAAAGAAACATCTATTATAAAGAATAATATATACTGAAACAGAGCTGGGCGTTGCTTCAATGCTTTCAGCGCATGTCTTAAAGTCACTGGCACTTCTTGCATCTCGCGACCTAAAGTACGTGATTCTTTTTGAGTCCACCGGTATAGTTTGTCAAAAGCTATTTCTTGGTAAGAGTTCATTCTCTCCATAATTTCCAGCCTAGGTTGTAATTTTATTTTATATACTCATGTTGTCACAAGAAGATAACATTCAGATATCTGATTTATTACCCAGCCCTTTGATTTTCCGTTATCAACAAAGATTCGCAATCTCTGTGAATTTGCTGTAAATGTTTCAATGCCTCGAAAAATTCCGAACCAATTTCTGACTCGGACGACGACAATACTGAAACTTCTTTCTCTGAAAGTGTAAACTTCTCCAAAAACGCGTCAATTAAGATTTTCCGTGTTTTGCACGTTTCTCTATATAGAATAAATCTTTAAGGCACCTAATTTGAAAAGGATCCGTGAAATAAAGTTCTCATATTACCTTTGTGACTTTAAAATATCGCTTTGTTCTAGTAATAAAGAAGTCTGACGATTCGCCGAATCGAGACTTTGACTAATTTCCTCACAGAAAATATTCATTTCTTTTATTTTAGACTCAATTACTGCCAATTGCTAGATGAATATATAAGTTCGTATCGCGAAAGTAAGCGAATAAAATTCATTTTATACCTTAGTAACCTTTCCAAATATCTCCAAAAAAATTCCGTTTGTTTCGATCGCTTTTTGTTCAATATTTCCTCTTAATTTTCTGCGTTCTATCATTGAACTTGAGGTATAAAATTCAGAAAGCGTTTCCAAGGATGATTTCATTTTAGCATCATCTATCGAATTAACCAACAGCCTTGAGACTCTTTGAGATATTGGATTTTCTTCGATTAAGGATTCCCCTGGTGACAT